AGAAGCACGTGACCAAAACTTATTGCGCACAACAATCTGAACAATTTACATTCAAGATTCGAGCATCCATAGTAGTAAAAAAAATTTTAACAACGATATATATTTGACTTTTTTTCTATAATGTTAAGCACCTAGCTCAAATTATATAGGGACTTTAATGGCTAATAGAGTTTTCTATGTAGTGCATTCGATACTAAGATTTCACAGATGAACTATGATGGCATGGTTTCTGAAAAATTAGGTACAGTAGTTTTCACATCTAAGAAGACTTTGTTGGAGCTATTTATTAAACAATGTCATCATAAAGAGCACCAAACTGTGAACAAAATAGGAATCGTCGTATTTCCTACGATCTTCCCTTAGAAAGTTAAAGACTTCACAACAACGAAATTTATAAAAAAAATCGCTTGAAACGCCTTCTTTTGGTTTTTGTGATGCTTTTAACTTATTAAGGAAAGGTCATAGACAATGCGACGACCCTTTATTTTGTCCGAAACTTTGCACTCTTTTCGATGGCAGTGTTAAAAAATAATTCCAACAAAGTCTTCTAGGATCTGATAAGGCCAATGTCTATTAAAATCACTAGCTAGATTCGAGCTAGATGCTTAACATTATAGAAAAAAAATCACAAAGTACGTTTTTGTTAAACTTTTTCCACCATTATATAAGCTGATAATACAGTGACACATACTTTTTCCTTGGCATGTGCCAACCTTAACGTTAAGTTTGAGTTTCGATATCAAACTTTATTAGATCGAGTTGTTTTCAACTCGAATTCACCACTCTGAGCTGAATCAAACTCAAATCTCAGAAACTCAATCTCTATTAACTCGATTAACAAACATGTGAGTTCGATTTGATTTCATATAAGAAATTTAGAATCCTAATAAAAATATAGAAACCTGTTATATTCTACAGAAAACATGAAACATTTCGTCCGAAAGCTACCGAACCTTCTACTATATCATTCACATTCAAAAACTTTTGTAGAAGGATTACAATACTTTTCTCTATCTGGTAAACCTATCGAAAGTTCAGTACGAATCATACAGGACTATTACTTTCTGCACAGAATTATACAAAAAACTGTAGGAAAAATGAAAAAGTTTTTTCGATTCCATTTTTTCACAATGATTATGTATTAAAGTGCACAAGTTTTCCATATGTTTCGAAACCTACAACGGATTTTGTAAGCAAGATACCAAATTTTATTGACATTCTCTAAACCTAAAAAGATTTGGCACAAATAACATTAAATGTTTTTTCTTTTACAGAATCTAAATTGAATCCGTACCAAAATTCGGAACCTACAAGATTTGGTACTATATCATTTTTTAGAGTGCAATATATGATTCGCATTTCATTAATTTTCAAGAAAAAATACCAAACGAAATATTAATCAGATTTGCATAACTGAGAAACTCTGATCCACAGACAAAGTTATGTTCGAGTCTCACATACCAAAAACTATCTGACTGCAAAAATTTGTAGTGTTCCTAAACTTGATTTGACGACAGCTAGATCGAGAAAATATTTGATTGGCTTAAAGCCGAATCTGCAAAAGCAATGTGAAGAGGTCATGGTTTATATATGTTATATGACCAGAGCTGCTACCTCTTCTGCTTTTTGAAGTTTTTTCTGTTTTTTTGATACGACGTTATTTATTATTTCAATCAACATTTTTCATCTGAAATACCTTCGTTTCCATAATTATTAAAAAGAAAACATATCAAAAACTACTGATAGTTTTGTGCCATTCTAATTCTTTCCATTCGATGCAGATGATATTAGGCTTTCAATCAATTCTTTACCTATGGTTTTCTATCGTATTTTAATTAAGGTGCGGGAAATGCAAAATTTGAGTGAATTTTTTTTCTCGTTCG